TATTCTTTTTTCCAGAGAGTTACTGGACAAATTCCTGATTCACTTTTCGATTCAACTGCGCTTGCTTACTTGTAAGAAATCATTCCTTCTTTGTATTCGTTTTGCTCTTCGGGTGCCATTCTTTTTATCATATGAAAGCATAATTTACTCTTTTAATCTCAGGTTTCTTGGAAATAATAAGCTAACTGGATCTCTACCTTCACAAAAAAGTTCATCCCTTGTATTTTACTTTCTTTGTGTTTGATATAAAACTAGAAGTATTTTGTCTTGTAATAATTATCAATAAAATTACCTTTACAACTTTTTCATATAACTTTTTTATACAACCCTGAGGTGGCAGTTCATGACTAATCAATTTGTATTTGGGCAAATGGGATTCATCGTTACTACATTAGAGTTGTATAAAAAAGTTGTAAGTGTAGTGCTGCTCAATTAATATTGTTATTTTTTAAAACAATAATGTTTTGCTTATAACTAGGTCATACAAACAGACAAAAATTGTACAAAATTAATGTAAAATAAAAACTCTATCTTTTATTTTTTATTTGTTTATATAACTCAGTTGTAATAATAACATTGTTCTTTTTTAAATAACAGTTCATTTTTTTCAATAATTTATCAGGGGGCCTCATCTTGGATCGAAGAACAAAATCTAAAACAGTATGTACACAGATTTTACTATTTTGATGTTTGGTTCTTATCATTTATTTTTAATAATCAATTTTTGGTAATACCTACGTATTTTTAACCTAATATTGAGATATTTGTGTGGTGTAATATTCAGTAATCTGGTTGCCAACCACTTCAACACAGAAAGTTTGAATACAGGTAGTTCTCTTAATGCTTATTTAACTTCTATCATTCAAAATTTATTTATTTGAGATCTCTATCAAACTAGACTGCATGGATATATACCGGATATTTTTGGCCTATTGGATGAGGATTAACAGTTTTTAAAAAGTAATTTTATCCTTACCAGTGTTAATAGAATAATCCGTGTTTATGTCTTTTAATTTTAAGAATAATACCTACACGTTTTTTTAGAGATCTTCCCTCAGGATTACACAGTCTTCAACGGGCAGAACAAGTTTTGGTCCCTGTAAGTTGAACATATGTAAGCGTTTTCCTTCAATATCAAAGTCGATCAATTTATTTCTGACCAATATAAATTTCATATGAAGAAATAAACAAAATTTTGCTGCTAACTTCATGAAAAGAACCATTTTGACAACTCTCTTCTGGTAATGCACGGATAAGAGCTTATCAATCAACAGTGATGGTGCAGAAGTTATTTCTTCTAATGTTATTGTGTTTGAGAGTGATGATGAAAGTCTTGGTCCACCTTCATATTTTGATTTTGTGGCTGACGCATTTGGGTAGGGTGTTAGCAACACTGGATATTTTGCCATTGGCAACAAGTATACATGTTCAACATCAGTTGGAATAAAAAATACCTTTGACTCTCAACTGTTTCAGACTTCAAGGATCTCAGCTTCTTCCTTGAAATATTACGGCCTGGGGCTTGAGAATGGTAAGTACAATGTGACCCTTCTGTTTCCTGAGACTGCTATTCCAAATACCAGGACATGGCAGAGTCGTGGGAGGTTGCATGGAAGTTTCATCAAAGGAGATAAGCGACTTTTTATTTATGAATATCTCGAAAATGGGAGTCTTTGTCAAGTATTGTTTGGTAAGAGACTCTTGGCTTTTATTTCATCATCTAGTTTTTGGAAAGATTGCAAAAACTTGTTAAATCTGGCATGCGTTAGCAGGAAAAACAATTTTGAATCTCAATTGGTCTGCTCGATTTAACATATGCTTAGGTGTAGCAAGAGGTTTGGCTTATCTTCATGAGGAATCTCGACATCGAATAGTACACAAAGATGTAAAGGCAGTAATATTCTGCTTGACTCCAATCTTGATCCCAATATTTCAGATTTCGGTTTGGCCAAACTTTTTGACAACAAAAAAACCCATATTAGCACTGGTGTTGCAGGGACATTGTAAGCTCCCCAAGAGCAAGAGTTTTATATTTATTTTTCTTCACCCAGACTTTTCTTTAATTAGAGGCATCCTGTGTTACTAATGCAGTGGTTATCCAGCGCTAAAGTATGCCATGTATGGACACCTTACAGAAAAGGTTGGTGTATTTAGCTTCCGTGTTCTGCTTCTAGAAGTCACCAGTGGGACTGCCAAATACTAGTTCTGGCTTGGGAGAAGATAAGATATATCTTCTTAATTGGGTACGTCGAGAAGATAAGATATATCTTCTTAATTGGGTACGTCTTTTTGAACCTTCAAATCTTTCAACTTGAATTTACAATCTGGGTCTGTCAGTTTATAAGTTTTGGGTCCCCTCAATTAAGTACGCTTACTTTGGGTGAAAAATGCTTCATTTTGGTTAAATTAGGGTTTTGCAAAATTATGGATCATTATGAATGTGTTCTTCCTCATTTTTAATGCTTCTTAGGCTTGGGAACTACGCGAAAGAAAGAGTGATTCAAGATTGGCAGATTTCAACGTAGAAGAAGTAAAATGAGGGATAGGAGTTGCTCTCTTTTGTACTCAAATGATGCCAATGCGACGACCATGATGTCCCGTGTGGTAGCAATGCTTTTAAGAAATATTGAAATGGGCACTGTAAGTTCAAAGCCTGGATACTTAACTGACTGGAATTTCAATTATCTCACCAGCTTTCGAAGTGGCGAGCGGCAATACAAGTAAAAACATTCATCAATAAGTACCATGAAGTCTTTGCTACTTGAGAACAACGAAGAGTTGGTGATCGAAGAATTTTGCTATGTGCTTCTGCGCATTTTTTTTATTTTTTATTTTTTGAATATTTAACACCTTATAAATTTGCTCCCACATGACAGCATATATAGAGTAGAATAGAAGAAACCTTTTATATTAGAATTTTGACTCTATACCTTATTTATCTATATTTTCACTAGGATGAAATTCTTATGGGTTTGAATTGACAAGATTTCTTAAATGTAGATCTGGATTCCTGTTTACCAATGCAGTAAACGCTAATACTCATTTAAACCACTTGCACAGAATGATTGATCTATTGGATTGAGAAATTTTGAATATTGTATAATATTACCGTCATTTATTTACCATGAGAATGGTTTCATACCAATTTACCAGTGAACTGATGAAACAAAAAAAAGATCATGTGATGTGAGACACAACAAAGTTGATGAGTTTAATTGTTATCATGACATATGCGTACGTTTGGCCACATGTCGTGAATTATAAGCTATGCGACATGGACATGCGCAATGCAAATTATCCTCTTATATCCATCATTGACCAAATACATTGAGATTATCAATTTATCATAACGAACTCGGTAATTTAAAAATAAAAACCTATTAAATTTGAAATTATTAAGAGGATAGATAACCAAAAATAAAAAATAAAAAAAAATAATATAATTTTCTATTTTCAGTAATTTTTTGAAAAGGAGTTTAATACTACCTTTATAAACCAATCTCACCAACTTTCTCTCACAATCCTGACGTGACAATTCATAATTGATCAACTCGCAAATAGATTCTGTCTGCTAGCTATAAATCTCATCTACTCAATTACAAACTAACTAATTACGAATTATCACATCAAGGTTGTAAGAAAAAATTTATAAAATTGGGTTGTGAACTCTATTTTAAAATCTGGACTGAACCAACAGGTCCGACCAATCCAACCAAGGGCCAACTTTGACTCCAGTCCGGATAACTATAAAAACTGGGAATGTCATAAAACCTACTTTGGACCAGTAATGGACCGGTGGAACAATACAAAATCGCTGGTCCGACCGGTTCACTATTTTGGGGTTAATCTAATCCCTACAATAATCCTATTCCTAATTCCTAAACCAATTTACAGCACCGTTTCATTCTCCATTTCATTGAGCCAGCAAGCATTCTCCGTTTCATTTCAATAAAAAGACCAAATTGCATCTTTCATTTTCATCTTCTATCCTTCTTCACTTACTATAAAATCTACAATGTAAAGAAGAAGAAGAAAGGGGAGGGAAAGGAAGAAGTGGTCTATCCAATTTGGACCTCGTTTGGCCAGATTGTGACGGCCAAGGCTTCTTGGCCGTCAAGTAAAGTAAGGGGGAGGGGAAGGGGAAGGGGAAGGAAAAAGAAAAAAGAGAGGAGACGAAGGGAGAGAGTAAGGAAGAAGAATAAGGAAAGAAAAGAGAAGATGAAGAGAAAAGCGGAAGAGGAAGGAAGACGACAGAAAAGAGAGAAAAATTACAGCAGGGAGACGGAAATGTGTTCAAGAAGAAAGCGATGGGGAATGATGGAGCGAGAGCGAAAAAGAGAGAAGAAAATGATTCAAGAAGAAAGTGACAGGGAATGATGGAGAGAGAGAGAGAAAAAGAGAAAGAAGAAAATGATGGGAGAGAGAAAAAAGTAATTAATAATAAAAACCGTTTACTTTGTTTTAAACTTGCTGAGACTTATAAGTGAATTTTAGGGATGTATTGCCGGTTTTCAAACTCATAAGGAGTAAGGGAATTGTTGGAAGATGTGTCTATTGTATACCGGTCAAACGGGAACCAACCCTAAACCCTTGATCAAGTCAACGAGTCCATCTTCATTGTTACACAAAACAAACAAGAAAGTTAATTTGAGTGAAACAAGTAGTTCTATCATAGCTCAATTCACTGATGTACATGCACTTGATGCAATTCATTAGACAGCCAAAACCACAATTTTGCATGCCCTTTATCCAAGCTTTGACATAAAAATATTTAAATCTCCCCAGTTTCCATGTCCACGAAAACATAAGAAAGTTCTTTATTATCTCCTGCAAAACCAAGCAGGGAGAAGCCTACAACCACAGAAATGTTTACTCCAACTTCTCGTTATTTTGATTCAAAAATTTAGAATGATATCTACAAGTGCGCTAACATTAAGATTGCAACACAAATTTAGCAAAGCATCGGGTATTCATTTCAGCTGCCATAGAAAAACATAATATAATAGAAAAAAGAAAATAATTGAATAACATTTACTACTAACAAGCAACACATCATTTGTACAGGCCATTTAATAGTAATATGAACTGAAAGAATGAAATTTCACAATAACTTACAGAACTTAAAAAGCAAATCATTTATATGGTTCATGAGGTAGGAACAGTCTTCTCTGACCCTAGAGATCAATTGAGAAAAGCTACCCTATATAAATCCATGCCATGGAGGATCAGACAACAACCAACTAAGTCGAGCAGCAGCCAGATTTCTGGTTGACAGGTTGTCCTTTAATCTGCACTGTCGGTGGCCTTGCATTGTTCATTGCAGGTTGACTTGCCATCCTGTAACAACAAATTACAGGTAAATCAATTATACAACAAACAACAAACAAACATTCACTGAAAAGGGAAGCAAAAATTTGCTAAAAGAGAACATCACATCCAAATCATTTCTCTAACATTGTCGCACTTAAAAATAGTAAAAAGTCAATGATTTATACTACAGATACCTGTTTTTAATGTCAGCAGTCATGGCCATAAATGCCTGCTCCACATTAGTAGAATCCTTTGCACTGGTCTCCATGAAGGGGATGCCAATTTCATCGGCGAATGCCTTTTTAGTTGCAAAAAAGGGAGTCAATGTGGTCAATCAAGTTTCCAATAGTTCTGTCAAAGAATATATACCAAAAGTAGTAGAAAATCTTTTTACCTTGGCGGTTTCATAAGACACAACCTTCTTATCAGTGAGGTCAGACTTGTTTCCAACTAGAAGCTTGTTCACATTCTCACTTGCATAGCGATCAATTTCATTCAACCACTGCTTAACATTGTTGAAACTCTCTTGGTCCGTGACATCATAAACTATCTGCCACACATCCGTCAATATCATTTATGATGAAACCAGTCATGACACTTGAGCACAATGACAATGCAACTAAAGACAAATACGAAAGATAACACTCACTATTATGCCATGAGCCCCACGGTAGTAGCTGCTAGTTATTGTCCTGAATCTTTCCTGTCCTGCAGTGTCCCACTGCATGTTTAAAACCAAAATCCACAAAAAAGGATCATTAGCTGTTTGAAAACAATAGTAAGAAACATAAAATATGACACTGATGAGTACCAGTCAAACACACAAGGATCAATTCAGAATTCATTTAAAAAAATTAATAACATGCCAAAATCCAAACTAGATAATGCCCTAAATCATCAAAAAAATCCAAGAAAAGCAAATAATAATAAGAAAGCCTCACAATTTGAAGTTTAACAGTCTTGCCATCTTGCTCTACAGTACGAATTTTCTACAATACAGAAAAAAAAAAATCATATCGAGATGGTATACTTCAAATTAAGACAACATTCACTAGAATCCACAGCTTATTGATGCTTACAAAGTCAACTCCAATTGTGCTAATATAACTGTCCAGGTATGAATCATCCTGCATAAGAGTGACAGATTACAATAAAAGTCAGTACATGCATATAAATATGAAATAAGCACTACAAAATCAGCTAGAGTGCACTAGGATTCTTTAATTAATTCTGTGTCATCAATCACTGGAGACATTACAAAACATCTAACACATGATTGGTACATAAAACAAATTAGATATTACGCATAATATGCAAGTTCAATCTTCCCTATCTATAGTGAGTAACATGAATGTACCAAAAGAAGAATAGCATGTCATTTTCATTGATCATATTAAAATATAGTCAAACCATAAATAATCATTGGGTTCCACACTACTGCAGAAAATGCAAACAACCAAACAATAATGCAACAACAATCCCATTTGGATCTCCTTTAGTCTTTCAATAAACAAGAAAACGTTTTTTATAGTGAGGATAAGATACTTTCTGTTATCTCAACCAAGACACATGCACACCTGGGTCTGAATCTATTATAGAACTAAAAGAAGTAAAACATACACTATTAAAAAAACACAAGTGTAGATAAATTTTAACAAAGCTTTTAAGAAAGGAAAAGACAACCTATACCAACAAAACAGAAAAAGTAATAGAAGCAGTTGAGAAACGTAAATGATTATCATTTTATAAGCTTACAGCAAATCTCAGAAGAAGACATGATTTGCCAACACCAGAATCTCCAATCAGCAAAAGCTTGAACAAATAGTCACTGCATAAAACGTTAAAAAACAAAAGACATTAAACTTAACAGTAAGTAATTTGAGAATAAAAAACTCTAAAATACTCTTCTTCCCAACAAAATTTATTTTTTCTTGCAAACTATAACCCTCAAAAAACTTCAACTTATATTCTTATGTTTTCTTCATTACACCCAGCCAAATTACCCTCAATTCAATGATTCTTTATACAGACTAAACTAAAATCGATAAATTCTTCAGGTCCACATGTAAATTTCTAATTAATCAGAGATCACCACATAACTGCAACAATCAACCTCCAAGGAATACAAAATTCGATCACCCGGTTAATTTGGTTCTTATATACCAATCACGCTTCCAATTCAAAGGTATTTAACAAGTTTCAATGACCGATTGCAATAAAATCCAGCAAAATAAAATATCTGAGCTGACTACTGTCTAATTAAAATACACCCATTTCTTACCGAGCTTCTTATAAAAAAAAATTTAAACATCAGTACAAAATTATCTATAAATCCAAAAGAAAAACAAACCCATCATTATTAATACCATTACCAATCTAAAAAAATCATGAAATTCAAAATTTCACATTTAAGAACATCATACAAGAGCAAAAATTAAAAAAAAAAAAAAATCATAACTATGAATATGCAAATAAATACCATAAATCAAAAGAGACCCAACAGTTTTTAGCACAAAATAATTATAGATCCAACAAAATTAAAAACTTCGACAAACAACCATCACAGATCTTCTTTAAAAAAATAAAAATAAATAACAAACACAATAGTAAAAATGAAAAGTAATCGGTAAGATCTGGGGCTTACTATTCAGGATTCATGACTGCAAGAGATAGGATTATGCCCAGAATCAGACCGGCCCAGCAGGAGATTGGACCGGGTTTTTGCAGAGAAATACAGAGGTTAGGGGAGAGAGAGAGAGAGAAAGAAGCAAACAAATGATACGAATAAAGGTAACCTTTAGAATATAGAAACGAAATTCACGAAAAGTTGGGAGATTATATATACGGAGGTTGGTCAAACTATATTGAAATTACCAATTTGGCCATATTATTATATCATTTTCTTTTTTTGTATTTGAATTATATTAAGATGAGAGGATTAATTGCCAACTAATACAAGTGATTATCTATACAAATAATTAATTTTAAATTAGAGTTACAAGGCGTTTGTTTTGTTTCAATTTTCAATTTTGCAGAGAATATATGATACATATAAACTCATTAAAATATGTACTTTAAATATATAAAAAAATTGTTTTTATATATAAAAAAGAGAAAAACTTGCATAGCTTTTTCTTTTCTTTTAAGCTTTCTTGTTTGAGTAAAGAAGGATATAATATTAGAAAGGTATTGAATGGGTGCATTTAGGGTATTATTTTGGATAGGATTTTGGAAACAATATCGGATAGTTGAATAGGAGAGTATTACGAGGTAAAATTTAAAAATTTATAAAAAAAAAACTCATAGGTTTGCTAATTTAATTAAACGCCCCAATATATAAAATAACAAAAACACCCCCACCATCTACAGTGCTAGATTCCGGCCACCACCATTGGAATCTAACCGGAAAATTGCGTTATGACGTAGACCAGTCAAATCTATGTTGTAACGTGTTGATATGGCCTTTTCCGACTAGATCCACCATGGACTGGCCGGAAAAGGCTAGATCTACGACTGAATGTGGCCGTCGATGGCCTCAAAGATCCATCTTTGGCCATCAACAACTGCCAAAGATATGGTCGTCGTTTTAGGTCAACGACGGCCATTTCTTTGGTTGTCGCTAACGGCCAAATCGGTGAATAACCTGCTAGTTCCGGTTGTGGTGTAAGCATTGTGACAAATTCCGGCTACCACCTACGGTGGTTATCGGAATCTCGCAAGTATGGATGGGTAGGGATGTTTTTGCTAATTTTTAAACTTTTTTTGGGGGTATTTAGTGAAATTAATAAACTTAAGGGGGCTAAAAATAATTTAAAAATACACTAATATTTCTGGAATAATGTGTCAAACAATATTTGGGGAATAGGATTGAGAATATGGGTAGAAATAATGAACTAAACGCACCCATTTAGGTAAAATAGGAAGATATATATTATTATTTTTTTAATGACCGGGGGTTCGAACCAATTTAAGTGGACTTCAACTAATCTTTCAGGATTCTGAAATTACTATTGCTAGTTAGGTAAAAGATTTCATGTACTATGCAATTGTCACAGGTGATGTGTAAATTTATTTTAAAAATCTAAAGTTGCCTTCATATTTAGATATATACTTAAATTGTTGACATAAATTTTCAATCATTGATCTATTATAATCCAATGATTTAAGAGTTGATGAGATTCAACTTCTATCTCATTAGATTACAATAAATCATTCACCATAAGTTTGTGTTCTATTTAAATTAAATGATCTCATTTCGTGTTTAATTGTTTAAATATTATGTCATAGTTTATATAGAATAGAATAGTTCCTTCAAACTCGTCATTATATATATAACATTATTCAGAATAATACTTATTCTGAAACTACTATCTGCAAATTCAGAGTAATATCTTAGTTGAATCATAAACTATTGATGATTTGGCCAAACCTTTTATAAGTAAGAACTAAGAAGTGTTAATTAATAGGGAGGAATTAGGTAACAGCTACAACTACACGATGTACGCACACACCACATAAATAGCAATTATTATTACTATCCATCTACCAAATAAATCGATGGAAAATTGACGACTTTTGAAGACCAAATTAAAAGCCTACCGAATGGTTTCCATGTCAAACCAACTGAATTTTATTACTATCCATCTACCAAAACAAATCATTCAATCAAAATCGAAAATTTTCATAGTATTCTTTTATGAATTTTGTGTATTTTTTTTCTATTTTTTTTTAAATATTAAAATTAATGAAATGAAAAATGTGAAAAATAAAAACGCATTCAACATATTTGTTTAAAAAGATATTTGAAAACATGAAAACTGAAAATACATTAGACATATTTATATGAAAACACAATAAAAATAATGAAAACTACCAAATGAATCACTTCCACAATTTTAAAATTACCATTTATTTTGTCTATCTCAAGAAACTTACCTCAAATATGTCAACTATTGATTTTCGTTTGCAAATTTATGTTAAAGTTCTTAATTTAAAAAGAAAATTTATGGTTTAAGGAAAAGAATAATAAAATATTAAAAGAGAGAGAGAGAAAATATTGGGTGCGTTTAGTTTATTATTTTGGATAAGATTTTTTAAATAATATTAGATAGTTGAGTAGGGTAATGATTACGAGAATAAGATTTGAAAAATATGTGTTTGATAGAGTATTTTTACCTTGATATTTGTGTTGAATATTTGATTGATATATTTTTTTATAAATGATTTATTAATATAATATTTTGGTGGATTTTGTTAAAATAATGTATTATTATATATATAACTCATCAATTTACATTTTAATAATATTAAACATTTTATTGGTAATTTTGTCACAAGTAAATATTAAAAAACAAAAACTCATATTAATTTCAAGTACTAATTCAACTGTTTAAAAAAATCACATTAACACATATATGACAAAAGTACTAATTATCAACTCTTACAATCGTTCTTACACGTATACTCCATTAACAACTACGACATGGTCCACTGTGCTACCCACAGTGCATTCATTATGTTATCCCGTATAGTCGTCATATTGTCTATAATTCCTTGCTGCAGTTGACTCGGTCCTTCTCCATTTTGGCCATCTTTTGCCCCGTTTTGGCGATCACAATATACTTGCTCATTACCTGTATTTCCATTATATTGTTCGAAGATAGGGTCCTCTATATTGTACATTCTAATATAATTATGAAGCACACAACATGCCATAACAATTTTCCCTTGTTTGTCTAGCGGGTAATTGTTCATTCCATTCAAAATACGGAACTGTCTTTCAAAACACCAAAGGTTCTCTTGACAACATTGCGCAGTGAAACATGTCTGTAGTTAAACAACTGTTGTGGCACCCTTCGGTTACGGTGGTGATCAGAAATATGGTAAGCCACTCGCTTATAAGGGGCGAGGAACCCCTCTCTATTTGGATAACCCGCATCAACCAAATAGTATTTTTCTGTAATAAAATCATACATGTTATTTGAATTACAGGGCCTCAATAGTGGAGCAAATACGCTATAATACGTCAAGAAAATACTTATACCTGGTGGAGGATGTGGGAATCCAGAATTAGGATCATCAATAATTGAATTTAAAACTCTTGAATCATGCGCAGATCCTTCCCATCTAGGTAACGACATAAGTGAACAACATCCTAAAGTCGCATGCAGCCATTACATTCTGTGACAACGATCCTTTGCGATTCCGGTACCTATCAGCAAATTCATGTGGAACCGAAGTGTATACATGTGTGCCATCAATTGCTCCAATACAGTCCTATCATCAAAATTGAATTTTACTGATATTAACCGACTATGAACATGAATAACACAATGAACTAAACTATCCGCTAATTGAAAACATAATGAACCAGTACCTTAAAGAAAGGGTAATATTTTCGGTTGGCTAATATTTCCCATGGAACCTCACTGAAGTCAAGTGATCTGATAAACTCCGTCTTCAATGAACATATCGCCTCGTAAACTATGCCAACATATCTAGAGATCGTCTCACCTGAATGTTGGAAATCCTCCATCATTGTTCTGATTGTTAGAAATATCATAACTTGTTCTTCCAGACTCGTCCTCCTGGATGGTCACAATCCATGCGACACTTGTCAAATATCTTGTCAGCATGACCATTGAGTACTTCCAACATGTACTCATGACCAGTTAATATGGATGTATGTCGTGGTTCACGCCCAATTGTTTCTAACGCGGCAACACCGCATAGTGCAATGGCTATATCTGTTAGTATTTCTTCTTCGTCATCTGTAGAACGCCGTCTTCTTCCTGTACGGCTAGACGACGCCATTTAAACCTGCATATTTGCAAAACATTGATCCACAATTAACAAAATATAACAGTCAATATTTAATTCTAATGACAATCCAAAACGGGGTTGAAACATGTAATATCACATAAAACAGTAGCACAATTAATAAGTTCATATAATAGTGCTATAAATTCTAATTGTAATGACAAGTGCCCACTGACGCATACAAAAGGGCTAGCAAACACTTAGGAAATATAGTGTCATCTACAAATTCGGAAAGTTTTTATAAATCTAGTTTGCCTTTTCCTCGGGCGGGAGTTTCACGAATATCTCCCGCCACCCTAGATTTTCATACAAGTAGTTGACAACCGGGAGGTAAAACTGTGTGGGTACTTGCATGGCCATCATGATGTCAATACAATTGCTCATGGAAAACGGATCAGATGGACGACTGGTGTTCTCTTCGTCCCTTTCATTTGCACTACGATTGCTAGCCCTCGATCCCATAGTCCGCTTCTCCACAAGCTCATCCATCAATCTATTAATGACTGCCGCAAGTGAGTGTCCTGGGCCGCTTTGCCTGCTCCTATTTCTTGCTTTTCCATGGCCAAATGTGTTTGGTTGTTTTTCCTCTGTCGTCCGATTTGGATCAGGTTCAAAGTCGCTATCATCCAGGGGAATCACGCCCTGATTAGAATAACTGGAGGTCTCCACCGATTGAGATGTAGAGTTGTATGCATATCTCTCAGTGGCAGTTTGCTTCTCAAATATGATTTCATAAAGGTCTTTGTGAGAAAGGCCCTTGTGGTAGAATTGTTGCGCTAGTGGGTTTTGCTAGTAATGTAAAAGAATAATATATTAATATTTGGTAGTCTGAAAAAAAATATGCATACAATTACGGTGTCGTTGATTAATATTAGTTAAAAAAGTTGAAAATTTACCTTCACATATTCTTGCCAAATCTCTATGGGACACGTTGGACTTTGCGACTCATGATCCCACTCGAACCCCATGTGTTGC